CGTGCCGTTGGGTGAGAAAGGCAACGTCTCACTGATTCTGATCCGTCGCCGGGTCCGTGCTTTGTGTTTACGTCTTTGTGCAGAATTCCGGATTTTAATGAATCAATATCACCTTATCCAAGCTAGAATCAATTTTAATCGATAAATCAACAATCAAAACCCACCCCTAGCTGCCCACTGCATCACTGAGTGAATGGGTTAAATGTAGAGGACTAAGCATTTTCCTAGTCCGGAATCCAGATTTAGGGGGAGAAATATGCAAAAATCCAGAAATCAAGAAATCCAGCATACATTAATGTATGTTTGAATATAACAAAAAATAATTCAGTTCAGAAACAGAGGCCTCCTTTACTGAAAGAGTTCATTTAATTCTATCTCAACTATTACTGTTAAATAAAGAACTACTCAGAGGAAAAAAGTGCTTCAAGTGTTACAAAGGCTAGAACTAGATGTTCTGCAGCAGATGAGAGGTCACTACAAACTCTTGATCTTTCTAGGGGTTTGACTAAATTTGCATTGTATCAGTTTTTCAAACTATAAATATATTTTTTTCATTCTCATCATTCATTGAAAATAACTTCTATCCTTGCTTACAGTCAAATTTCTTGTTGCTTTCTGACAGACACTATGGGTATTATGAATAATGGAGTGGCAACATTACTGTCTTTGGAACAAGGGGGTTCGAATCCTGGCTCATGCATCCAGTAATGATCATCAGGCTACCCAAGCCTATCTCGGAACAGGAGTGAGCGATTATAAAAGCCTTACCTAAGCCAGCCAACCCAATAAGCGAGGTTATATGAAACACATATGTAGAAAGCCAAAAATCGATACCGACCAATTCAATTCAATTTTACTGCAGTTATACAGCACCAAATCACAACAACAGTCGCCTCAAGGTGCTTTATATTGTAAGGTAGACCCTACAATGATGCATACAGAGAAAAACCCAACAATCATATGATCCCCTATTATGAGCAAACACTTTGGTGGCAGTGGAATGGAAAAACTCCCTTTTAACAGGAAGAAACCTCCGGTAGAACCAGGGTCAGGGAGGGGCGGGGCCATCTGCCGCGACCAGTTGGAGTGAGAGAAGAATTTAAATTTAAATTTTATTTAGTGCTAAGTCGCAACAACAGTCACCTCAATGCACTTTATATTGTAAGTTAAAGATAATAGAGAAAAAACCCCAACAATAAAATAACCCCCGTGGAATGGAAAAACGCCCTTTTAACCCTTTCATGCATAGTGGTACCTACAGTGGACTGCTATTCAAAGGCTGTTTTCTTGTATTTGTGTTGATGGTATACTTGCACATAAACCACTACATTGGGCACTGATGTGTCACTCCATACCCTGCCACCCACTGGAAGTTGAATGTTACGATAGATGCATGACGTGTTTCATTGTAATTATTGTTATTTAAGCCTGTCATGCATGAATTATGATAATCTCAATCAGGATTTTTTATAAGTATTTTTATTCATTGTTTCATGCCTAAAGATGAATAAAAATACTTGCTGTCATAATTCATTAATTCAAA